TTCCACCCTCTGCCATTAATGAGAAGTCCATCAGGGAAGGGAAGGTTACGACCACTGTCCAAGAGACGTCTCAGTACCTTAAGAAACAAAGAGGGATTAGTCAGTATTCAGAGGAAAGAAATAAGAAAAGGCGCTGAAACAATAAGGCTCCGCTATCTTACAAATGTTATGCACAAACAGAATTCTTACATAGTGATTTCTCTTATACCAGTCCCCAGCCAGTACAATGAAATCCCCTGCAGGAGTGGGAAAAGGTACTGGAATCTTAGGGCGGCTCCATATTCTGATGCCACCATATCCTCCAGCAGCCTTGTGGAATAAAAGTGATGGGAAGTAGAAAAAGCTACCAATCTGATCTTTCACTTGGAGAACGTAAGTGAAGCTTTTCCCTGGTCGAAATGGACAGTTTGTGCCAAATACTCCATCCTGCCATGAGTTCCCCCTTTGCTGCACACCATTCCCGCAGAAGGGAAAACAGGAGATGACTGTCAAATTTCACATCAATTGCAGCATCCAAAAGCTGTTTCTGTTTATCTCATGGACATAAAAGAGAAAATGTTCTCTCTAGATTATATTAGCTGATGTTGAGAGCATCATATTATGTTCCAGCAGGCCAAATTGGCAGAAACTGGATGATTGGATTAGTCACTATCACTAATTTAACATAATTATGGAAATTAAAAATAACACATCTGGAATGATCTTATAATAAGAAAAGTTGGCAAGCTTTATTAAAGAAAGTAGCATAATTCAGAGCTTTCATCAGAACTAGGCCTAAGCCCGTGGTCTTATGCTTTCCTAAACATACTCAAGGGCACATCTTTTTTATTATTTTGATAGGCAAGGCAACCACCTGCATTAAAATATTTTACTGTAATCAGTTCGGCCATAACTAGGCATACATTGTTAATTAATTACATTCATTCTCTAATACATTATTAAACATGAAGATCCACCAGATGTGAGATGTAGCAGGTGGCAGAAAAGTTTTTTTTTTTTTTTTACTATACTCAGCCAGCTTCACAAACTAGATTATCATAATAATAGTAGTATTAGTTCCATTGAATCCTTAGAGAGCTTTTAGAAAAGTGAGATTTAATCATTTAACCATGCACGGACCATAATGTCAGAGTCTTTTTTAAGAGATTGTCTACGAAATGTGAACCAACAAAAACCAAAATGACAAAGTAGCTGAAAAAATGACCATGCCTTTTTGCCTCCACTCTCTTTAGTTCTATATATGCACTTCCATGCAAAAGGATCAAGGATAAGGCATAGGGATATCCTCACATACCAAATTACAAAAGTAACCAAATATTTCATTTTCATCAAATTCGGTCTTAGTTTATGTGATATTAGTACTTGAAAAGCAATGGAAAATTTTCAACTGTTCAAGCATTTAACCACAGATCTAAAAATCTCAAAACTTTCCCACTATACTCTAGTTATATATGTGACACCTCAATTTCACATCAGGATATTTTGAGAATCTGTTATCATATATAAGTTAAGATTTAATCTCAAACTTATAAGGTGCCTTGTGGGACAAAACTGTGAGTTTAAAACCGTGAGTTTACTTTGTTTCTTCCCTTCTTTTTTACCCTGTTCTTTCTAACCAACCAAGCGGAAGGTTAAGTAAATGTCGAACTAAAGAGTAAAAATAAACAAAAAGACAGAAAGGAATGTTAGCATAATTACCAAGAGATGAGGAATGGTTCATTTAAGTAGTTATAAACACCGATGATCAGGTTATCATTAGTAACTGCATCGATCTGAGGCCCTGGAAACAGCCCGTTTATTAAGATTCCTTGCAACACATTTTGCCACATTCCAACCTACTACCCAAACAAAACAAATCAACTCTTCCCAAACCCATATAAACAACATAAAAAAAAAAAAGAAGAAAGTATACATATTCCTTTGAACAAAAAACAGAAAACAAGAAAGAAACAACTACCTGTTGCTTAAAGCCAAGAGGGTATATATCACCGTACGTGACTTTCCAACTGATATACCGATACGGTTTTTCTCCATTGACGCCAAGAAGCAAAATGCAACCTGCGAAACAACAAAAAAGAAGCTTGCTATCTTCCAATTTCTCGTCTTTCTTTTCCTACTTAGAATACAAAAACCACTCAAAAACAGGAAAAAGAATGCTTGTTTTGCAAATGTTACAAAAAGTACAGTTCTAGAAAGTGTAATTCTTGAAGGCACCATTATTGTATCTTTTGTCTAAATCTATCTTTCCCTGTTTTTTTGGGCTTTTTATTTTGAGTATGGAGGCAAAAGCAGAGCTCTGTTTTGTTTTGTATGCAAATGAAAGAACAGAGATTTTAGATGATTACATATTAGCTGTCAGTGGGTTCCAATTAAATGCGTTTGAATCTAGTGAAAACAGGAGGTTATGGTTCCAGATTAAACGTGGACTATTTACCATCACGTGGGTCCAGTTCATGTTGTGGGACCAGTGGTAGTCGCTTGATATTTGACGGTTTGTGATTTGGTTTAGATTTGCCCTTAAACGCCGATCAAACTTGGATGGAAACGAGTTAAGCTTGTGATATGTGCAAAATTGTCAACAAAGACTCCCAAGCCACAAGACTCATGATATTGATGGGTGGGATAGGACAATTTTTCATTTTTGTATTTTTATATTATATATATTTATATTTATATTCAATAAATATTTTAAATTTATTTTTATCTTTATTTTCAATAAATTTGGATAATCTTTATAACTTAAAAAAAATTAAAAACTAAAATTTTTTTAATTTTTAATTTTTATCTTATATATTTAAGTAATCTTTTATAAATATAAATTAATAATATATTTCTTAATAAAATATATTGATTTTATTAACCTAAAATAATAAATTATATTTTTAATAAAAATTTATATACTAAATATATATAAATATATATATGTAAGGTACGTGGTAAGTATTATATTGTCTATCTCCATTTACATATTTAATAAAAATTTAAAATTATATCAATTCTCATCTTTATCTTTATAATATAACAATTATTTTTATTCTCATTTGAGTAAAAAATTAAATTTTTATTAAATATGAATAAAATTAACATTCCAAAATCATATTATAATAAATTGTATAAATTTAATATTATTATTTAACATTATCATGTCAATATAGTTTATGAAAATTAAAAGAATGATCTTGTATGGTATATAATTCTCAATCTTTATGAATGTGTGGTGTCTAGTCCTGCATCATTTTTCGTTTGTATCGAATCACATATAATTTATTAATAATTTTTTATATTTTTTAAAGAATTTTTATTGTTTTTCAATTATTTTAAAAAGATTAATATACAAAATAAATAAGTAAGGCACATAATTCATATAGTTTGACAAAACATCTATATTTATCAGTAAAAGTTAAAAAATTCATCAAAATAATATGTAAAATTTAACAAATACTAATATTACATCTCTAAATTTTAAAAAATAGATATCACATTATTATTTTATTTCTCATCTTCATCATACGATGATTCATGTATATTATGTATTTTATCTTATTCTAGGTTTTTCATAATCAATTTTTAAATAGTATACATTTTGTAGTTTTTTTTTTCAATTATAATTTTATCTATTAATAATTTAAATATTTTATAAGTAAATTGGTTGATACAATTTAATTTTTATAAAATGTTAATATAAAATATTAAAAAGATAAAAAAAAAAGGTTTATTATATGATAAAAGTAACATAAAATATAATTAAAAACCACCAAATTAAATTTATTTATAACATTTATGGATCAATACAACATAATACATTAGTGGTCATGTGCCCTGCCACCCCATGTGCCCTTGATGGGTTGTGCTATATTAGTTCAATGAGCCCAAAATCTCTAATCTAACATTACACAAATATGCGAGTAATGCTTGAGATAAGTTATGATTATAGCAATAAATTATACCAAATATGGATCATAACGTACTAAATTGTACCATATCATGAACAACCCAATCTATTTGACACCTCTAAGTCAACCCCAATCAAGTTTAGCTTGAAATCACCTAATTTCATGTGCTCGAAGTTACTAACAACGGCTTCTGATCCATCTTTCGTTTACCACGGAAATAGCACGATTAAAAAAACTATGGCCAATGGAAAAAGAAAGAATCATGATTAGAAAAAGACTTTTAATGGGGCAAAGGAGATATCAGATGATAATTAGATTCTAGGCCTTTTCCTTTTTAGCAAAAGAAAAAAAAGTTGATTAGATTCTATATTTTAGACATTTCTAACAAGAATAAGTGGAATGACTTACCGACCATAAAGAACTTTCATTTTTTTTTAATAAATTTAACAAAAATTAGATAGTATTAGATATCAGAAAATCGAATTATTTTTGTTTTTATTTTTTAAAAAAATAAAAAAAAAAGAATAAAAATATATTTGATAATTGAAAACAAAGATAATTTTTAAAAAAATAAAAATGAAAATAGATTGAAATATGAAAATAAAAAAATATTTTTAATTATTAAAAAAATATTTTTAATTATGAAAATAAGTGATATAAATTACTTTTTATTTATTTTTTACTAATTATCACATTTAATGTTATTAATTAATATATATTATATTTATAATTAATTATCATTAATAATAATATTTTAATATTTCTTATTTTTATATTTTTAAAAAATAGTTTTTATTTTCATTTATCAAATATATTTTAAAAAAACAAAAAATAAAAAAGTATTTTCTGAAAAATAAAAATATAAAATATTTTCTTAAATCAAAGAGCCTTAGGTTTTTGATGTATTTCTTGGTCTAGAGTTCAATAAGTGGAGTGGGCCAGGGGGGTGGTTAAGGGGAATACCGTTTCAAAAGTTAAAAGCTTGTTTAGTTCCCACTTTTGCCGCGTTTGGGAGTTCCAGTTTGGTTTGGTATTAGATCCAGCGGCTATCTGCCCAGGCCGAAAAAAAGCTACTCACGAACTTTAATCGTGGATGGTCTCCTTTTGGAGATCCCAGTTTAATCTAATGCACCCTTTGGAGAGAAGTTATAAGATGAGTTGAGTACCGGTTAATTTTAGCCAATCAGCTGCTTTTTCATGGTGGTAAAGACTAAAGAAAAACCCTTTTCTTCTTTCTCAACAGTGAGAAGCACAAATGCATCATACTGATAGGCCTGATCCAAGGACGGGGCACAAAAGAGTATAAAGTTGTTTTCTTTGTGTGAAAAAGCTCCTAAACCATGGAGTATAAAGTACTACCATAGCCCTTTACCCTTTGTTTAAATTGACATTATGGGAATCTTGGGGTAAGCAAATCCCCGCAGGAGCAACTCCTATCGAGTTGAGAACCCTGGATGAGTTATTGAAGGCATTCTTTATAGCAACCCAAGGATTAAACTCACTTTCACCCACACAAACTGTTCAGAAATACTAAGAAATGAATACAAGTATGTTAGATTCACCCAAAAATCTCCTTTTTATTTCAACAAGGGATGGTAACAAAAAGTGCTTAAAATTGATCCCATGTCTCCTCAATGATTGCATACTGCAGAATAATCACACTTTCTGCTAAGCTTAACAATATCATTGTGTTGATTACATATGTATATATCAACTCTCAAATAATTATCATCACCATGCTCAATCAAGACTCTGCCCGGACTCATCAGATCATTCCTTTTACCTTTAGCACGAAAGATCATCGATGAATTCAATGCAAAATAATGATACATTCTTTTTAAAAGACATTTTTTTACTTTCCTCATCGAGTGGTCACAAAAGGAATGATTAACAAAATACAGAATGCTATAGTAGTTGCACTTATTTGGTTGTTGTGGAAAGTGTTGAATTTTAACCTTTCAGCTGCACCACTTGCTTCTGTCGAGTTTACAGCCGTTCTTGTCTTATTGATTACCTTTTTACTGCAAACAGAAATTAAAAAATCTTTGTTAAGAACACTAAGCAACTTGTTTTAACTACATAATGCTTTAACAGTTTTTAAAATCTAGAAAGAGATATTAAGAACAAAATGTTAAACAGCAAAAATTATAAATGAGAACTAGAGTGTTATGTCTCACCTTCCAGGAAATACACAGCTCCCGTGACCTGCAAATATTCCCCACAAATTTTTTAAAGAGAAAACATGTCAGATATATATAAATAAATATATGTATCGTAGAGTACAATGAGAGTTAAGAAAACTGGAGGCAAAAAAAAAAAAAAAGGGAATGAAAGACAAAAAACAAGCTGACAGGCTCCATTTGGACTAGTACAACCTTCATAAGATACAACTGACAAGGCAATAAAAGAAGATGATTGCCAGCATATATGCACGAAGAAAGTCATTTTCTAAGGCAATCTAAGCATGGAGATGGGCCGATGGCCTAGTGAGGTAATGTTGTGCAGTGGGGGACGGGGGCTCACTACAGAAGCAGGTTCCAAACTGAAATCATTGTTCCATCCTTGAATAAGAAAATGTTATTCCACGCCCTTTTCCACCTTCCAATCACAAAAGACCCCATGTGACTCTGTCAGGTAGAAACTATGCACCATTCTTTTTTAGAAGTGACCTTTTCCCCAATGAGCAACCCTTCATTTGTAACTTGGAAGTGCGACTATTCCCACAGCTTTACTTTCTGATAGCATGGCTTTACACTTTAAAACCTAACTATTTGTGCTTAAGCAACTTATTAGCTGTAAAGAAGAATAAGTTGATAAATTAAACACCATTCTCCTATCAAGTTAGCCTAAGGGGTCCTTTGAACTTTGATATTAAAGGCGCTAAACCAGAAGTATAGTGCTAGTGTCACGGACCTAAAGAGAAATCATAAATCTTACATTGAACATAAAAAGAGGGTCACTGGAGTATAAAAGGGTTCACACCCCCTTCCCTTTGTGAGACGCTTTTTATAGGACAAAACCGTGAGGCCAAAGGCACCAGAGCGGACAATATCTTACAAGGATGTGAACCGTGACAAGAAAATTGATCTGGGATGCCAAATGAGTGTATGCCTAGGTCCTGGAGCCTGAAACTTAAGTCTCAACACGTGACAAGTGAGATTAGTGCTAACCTTAAACCGTTCGACCCACGTCAAGCGCCTCAAGGGAGATAAACAGGGTGGTCAACCTCCATAACGAGAGCGTCACGAAATTGGGTGGAAGAAAACATCACGAACCTAAAAAAGAATCCTAAATCCCACATCGAATATAAAAAAAAAGTCACTGAAGTATAAAAGGATTCACATCACTTTTCTATTATAAGGCACCTTTTGTAGGACAAAACCGTGCTAAGGGGGCTAGAACGGACAATAACTCACAAAGATGTGAACCGTGACAGGAAAACTGATCTGATTGCATGCTCGGGTCCCAGAGTCGCACGAACCTGGAGCTTAAGTCTCGGCTTGTGACACTAGAACTTGGCACTTGATTGACTAATTCATTGTTCTAGCCTATGGTAAATGCGCAATTGTTTTGGACTAAAATGCCTAACTCTTGTGCTAAGGACCTCGATTGTTACAAAGAAAAACTCACAAACAAGACTAACACTGAGTGTCAAATATCCTCATATCCATTTTTTTCATCAAAATGGTACGAGCACAAGTTAGAGCTAAGCACTTGGATAATTAATCACTTATTATGGCTACAAGAACAAATTCAACTCCATAGGACAATATAAAACTAAAAACCTATGTTCTTTTTTAGGAATAGTTGTGGTAACACTTACTTGGGTCAGTGGTAGTTATCATAGCCACACCCTTAAAGTCACAAGACCCAGAAGCTTTCCCTTCCTTCTGATAATAGCTATCAAAGGCATAAGAAGCATGATTTTTCACGTTATTAGGCTGGTAGCAGTTCTCCCCTGGTTGAATCTCACTGCAATTCGCCCTCCCAGGACCACAAGCCCAGTCCAAAGCTGCCTGCAATGTCTTTGAGTCAACCCCATCCACTGCAATACAATAGGTCTGATTGGTTGTATCATTTGCCAAAAAAGTCCCAATTCCTGATACATGAAGCAAATACACTGGCGTCGAATTTGAATAAAACAATCCCCAATTCGCCTCAGACACTGGGGGTGACCTCAAGTCCTCATTGAACAGCTCATATAAATATACACTGGAAGTGATTTCTGGATGCAAGGGGGTTCCACTACGGTCAAAAACATGCTTAATAAGATTTGAATTATAGGTATCTGCATTATCTATAGTAGCATAAGGCTCTTTTGAGTCCCCCTTCGAAGGCCATCCACTTTCAGTAACAAGCACCACGACATCAGTAACATTTAAATTCTTCATAGAAACATATGCAGCATCAATCATAGCATCCAGCACATTCGTGTAATGCAACAAAGTATTAGGATCAACCATTTCTTTGGACGGTGTCAATGGCTTAAACAAGGAATTATCCAGGGGAACCACACCTTTATTCTCCATAAACACATAATATGGATAAAGATTCATCATTAAAGGAGACCCAGTTCTTGATAAAAACTGAAGCAAAGGTACCATAACCGAAGTCAAGCTTTGGTTAAAGAAAGCCTGAGAAGGAGGAAAGGTATCAAGAATAATAGAAGCAGCATGTGGAGTTGAAACCTTGATTTGAGTATGCAAATTTGCAGCCACTAAAGCACTGTAAAGTGACTGAATTGCAGGAAGCAGCAAAGGAGCTGAAGATGGTACGGTAGTTAAAACCTCATCTCCAACAGCAATATCGGTGATGAGCGTTTCAGGGTAGTAAGCGACGACATTTCGACCGACCCAAGAAGCAGCCGTGGAGTTGGATGACCCTATTGCCAAAAGCTGGTTATTGGGTACACTGATAATGACCCGGATCTTCGTCTTTGCCAATGCTTTGAGCATATCTGGATTTGCATCATAAAGTCGAATGTGTGAGATTTTTTGCACTTGCAAGAATGAAACCAAGTCCGTTGCTGATAGCAGATTTGAGACATCCGTTCCTATATTAACACCCACAAACGGTTCTTTATCTTGTTGCTGATTTTGCTGCTTGATTTGTTGGACTAAAGATGACGACTTCGCTGCAAAATTTTGTAAAAGAAAAACACAAATATAAAAATTGAGTCCTTAATCCTTATTGGGTTCTTCGTATTTTAGTGAGCTACTGACTACTGGGGTTTTTCAGACATTACCTGTTGAAGGAACCGTAAAGTAGAAGAAAATTATGATGATAAGGAAAGTAGTAAGCTTAGAGTTTGCCATTGAAGAGGAGCTTCAGCTTTATTTCTGCCTCCTCTGCTTCAGTCTCTGCTAGAAATCCTAACATTATCTTTGCCAGTTTTCCTTTCAATTGGTGGTCGCTGGATTTATTTTCTTGTGGGATTTGTATTGGTTGTGCTTAGGATTGACTTAAGAGATCTACAGCAAGAAGAAAGAAAGCTACTAACACATATCAAAAGCCCAACAAATTTAGGGTCTTTGGGGGGTTTACCTGGTTTTCTTAGCTTCTACAAGGAGGTATTTTTATGGTACCATAATTCAATTTCTTGCCACACATTGATTTACCACAATACCCCGACAAGTGAAATTGGATTTTTTACATGTTCCGGAATTTCTGCCCACTCGGCCAAACACTTTCTAATTCCAACCGGATGATTGTGATCATGATTTGGGCAAATGTGCTCGGCAATCATGTGATAATTTGAAGCCACGGGGGCGTTTTGGTAGGATCTGCTGACTGGGGCGGGCAACATTGTAAATTAGGGTCTGGTGAGTGAGATGGTTCTTGATTGTACAGGCTGGCATTTCCATAGAGACGTTGCGTCACCTCGTTCTTAGCCGCTTTCAAACGTCCACACTTCCTATTTTGCATATTTCCCTAGTGTGGGGCCATGGGCAGTTAGCATTTAACCAGGCCAATTTTAAGTTCACTTTTCAAAATTTAAAATCACGTGCTGATTAGGACTCACTCACCTGACATCATCTCGACAAGTTTGGCTCCTATTGACCAAAACGAAAAGACTAGACACAGTTACACTTTCAAGTTCTACAGATCTATCTCGATTTCAGATTTTCTTTCATTTTTAGATTTTTGTTTGCAAATGATTCACTTTTTACCAGGTTTAACCTTCTATGAAAATGAAGTGAAATTTATGAATAATTTTTTAGCCCTAGAATTTCCTTTCCTGATATCTAAGGATCAATAGTTTTAATTGGTTTGAAAGTAGTACTAGTGGAGTTTGAATCTAACACGAACTTCCTTGTAATGCATGACAGTTTAAAGTACTATTGCATAATTGGGTGGAAAGAAAATTCCAAAAATATGGGGCAAGAACAAGGCAAGTGTGCGACAGAAATGGAGGACACAGCCAAATATAAAACCAAAAAACACAGCATCTGCGCTTAGGTTCCATAGTAAGCAGTGAGTCACGAGCATAAACAGAACACCTGCATCACATCACATGTGGGTCACCATTGTCCAAAATGGTGTTCTTTTTTTTTCCTTGTTTGGGTTAGGCTTTTATGCTTTAGTTATTACAGTACGTAAGTAAAGCCTGTCAGATGTCTTGATTTTGAATTATTAAGATGCAGAATGCTGGTTTGGAGGGTCCATATCCAGCAATTCATTCCTTACAGAAGATTGTAACAAGGTAGGTGTCTAATGAGAATGGAACGCAAAATGCTGTTGAGCTACCAATCTTGGTTCTTGCCTGCCTTTTCCAAGGAATAATGATGAACCAAGATGCATGCCAAATTCGGTTTAACTAATTAATGGAATTTTTTTACGTTGAAACAGCAATATAAGTTGGGGATAAAAATAAAAATTAAAAATCGATTTGAAAATTATAGTATTTGAATTAGTTTTGATCAATTTTTTTATTGGATTCAAATTAAATTAAATATTAAATGTATATATTAGATTTAGATTAAATTTTAAAATGAGAGATAAAAAATTTTAAAAAAAATCAATCACAATGTATTATATATTTTTATTATTTTTTATATTTTTAAAATTTTTATGAAATAAAATTAATAATTTTATATCAAAATTTATTTAAATATATTAAAATAATATATAAAAATAAAAAAATTTAAATTTAAAAATTAATAAATTAAATTGAACTAAATCAATAAATTCAATTTAATTAAATCGTATAAAAGATCGATTTAAATTCAAATTATATTTTAAAAATTCATAATATTATGATATTCGTAACATTAAAAAAATAAATCAAATCTCATCTTATCGTTATTACAAGAACAAATGTTGTAATCAATTAGGAAAAAGCAGAGATGCTTTTTTTTGGTTTTTTGGTAAGAAGCGACGGAATTAAGATAGATTAAGAACCAGAACGGTACACAGTCTGCCTTACCATATCTGCAAGCAGCAGGGCTTCAACAAATTCCGGGAGTTCCCGAAAGATAACAAAATGAGGTTCATTACAGACCAGATTATGAGGATTCCTACTACCCAAATAAGAGTCATTACAGACCAAGCTAGAAAGATTTCCACTGCCAAAACATGCCACGGCATCGGCGCATCTATTGCCTTCCCTGAAGACATGCTTAATAGTCTGCTGATGGAACTCCCCCCCCCCCCCCCCTAGCAGTTTCCTACGGTCATAAACCAATGGTTGAAGAATTAGGTTAGAAACACAGTTATTTTTAATTAGAGAAATAACAGCCACAGAATCAGTTTCAATTTCCAGGTTAGAGATGTTGAGTTGTTTTGCAAGAATTAAACAATCTCTTAACGCCCAAAACTCCACGACAGAATTGGTGTCAGTACCAATAAACCTAGCCGACCCTGCAACCCATCACCCTTCATGATTTCTTGTCACAGTTCCAGCTCCAGCTTTGTCAGGATTACCTATGGCTGATCCATCAGTGTTGAGTTTAAATCAACCCTGTGCTGGTTGATATCATCTGACAGGGATGAAAAACTCTCGGTAAGGCCTTTTCATTTCTTGATTCATTGTAAAATATTCGCCAGTTTTTTCACAGCCCTTTGACTAACATTCAGTCGGCTTCCGTCCTTGAAAGTTCGTTGGTTTCGTTCAAGCCACATCTCCCAAATAATATGCACAAACAGCAAGCCACAAGGAATATTGTGTTGGTCCAAGCAAAGCTTAGATAGAGTATTCTTCATTATCCAATCCTTAAACCCCATATTAATGGGGCTATTGATGAAACACTTCTAATCTTCCCAATTCTGGTTAGCCCATGGACATTCTCTAAACATGTGTTGCAAGTCTTCAGTATCATGATTGCAGAATGTGCATCTGTTTTTCAGGTTCAGTCCTCTCCGATTAAGAAATTCCCTGGTGGGGAGAATCTCATGCATGCATATCCGAATGAAGAATTGAAGCTTAGGGAGGACTTTCAGCTTTCAAATCCAGTCCCACCAAGGATCTTCATTACCAATGGTAGATCCTTTTATTAAGTCATAAGCCGATCGAGTGGTGAAATAGCCATCATTCATCGCACTCCAACACAGACTGTCGCTACCATGTCCAAACATCTAGCTTGGCACTACTCTGATTTGTTCCATAGTGCATGATGGGACCTGGAAGGAAATTGCAAGGTCTTTTTGGAGGCAAAGTGCACACAACACTTCTCTAACGTTGAAGTTGTTTTTTTCTCTTGTCAAAGGCCCCTTAATAGCAGCTCTAATAATATTCTTGCATAACCATCTGTCATTCTAGAAGCTTGTATTGGACCCATCTCGGATGAACTATCCTAGTGCTTTTTCAAGGACAGAACCCACCCATTTCATGCCTTTCCAAGTTAGCCAACAATTAGTTCTTTATCCGGTAGCCTCCCCCCCCTTACCTCGCGTCTAAGGTTATGGTTAGTATTAGGAGAGAAAAACACCCTCGACTTTCCAAATTTATTTTTTGTCTTGATTTGGAGCAAAAGCCAGAGAGGACCTTCCTCGTCGTCTCAACAATATTCCTATCATCCCTTCCAAACAGTATGATGTCATCTGCAAATATCACGTGCGAGAAACATGGCCCCCTTCTAGAAGTTTTGCAGTGCATCCACCATTTCTCCTCACAAGCTTCAAGGATTTGGAGGCTAAGGAATTCCACTAACAGGATGAATAGATACGGTGAATTGGGATTTGTTAGGAATAAAAGATCTCAATCTAATCACACCAACAGAAACCAAATCAAACAATCAAATAATCACACAAGATACAATAATTTAATGTGATTCGGTCCAATTAACTTATATCCACAGATGAGAAATAAGATCCACTAGTTATAAAAAATTACAAATATACAAATCAAATCATCAACCTCACTCAACAATCAATACTCATAAGATACTCTCAATCTCCTTTAGTCCTATAGAGTATTCTCAACCCAAACAAACACATACCCATGTACACCATTTTAACACAATCAAACATATACCCATATGCACCCATACATCATACTTATGTGGACCTTCTCATTCTCCTCTAGTTCACTCCCAAACATTCAAACAGACACCCCCATAAAACGTAAATCCCTAGTACTCCTATGGGGTGTCTGTTCCACAAAATCTTACAACTTTCTTACATCTTTTTCTCATGCATCTTTTTCTCATGCCTAACCCTATAGAGACTTCACTTATTTATAACCATACAAACTTGCCTATTAAGAATTCATTTCTTCTTAGAATTATTTTCCTGCAAGTCAAACTTGCATATTAAGAATCATCTTTCTCTTAGAATTTTTTTTTTACAAGTCTTATTGTTCATCAAGTAATATTTGGCCAATCTAAAAAAAATCTCTAACAAATCTCAAACAGATCTCCTATGGGATTTGAGTCATTATTCCTAACAATCTTTACCTCTACTCAAATTTCATCAATCATCTATCTTCATACTAGACATGCCTGGCTCTATTTGTAATGAAAGTCTCACAATCATCTTCTCTTGTGTGTCTTTACGCTTTACGCAAATCAATCCTCAATCCTCAAAGCATGAACTCGAACTCTTTTCTTGAATCGAGCTTCTCTGAACTTGTCTTTTCCCACGTCTCGAACCATGCTCTTTTCACGTCTCGAACCTTCGACTCTGATACCATTTGTTGAGGATCACCATAGCTTTGATATCACTTGTTAGGAATAAAATACCCCAATCTAATCACACCAGCGAAAGCCAAATCAAATAATTAGACAATCACACAAGAGATAATAATTTAACGTGGTTCGGTCCAATTAACTTACATCCACGAATGAGAAACAAGATCCACTAGTTGTAGAGAATTATAAACATATAAATCAAATCATCAACCTCACTCAACAATCAATACTCATAAGACACTCTCAATCTCTTCTAATCCTTATAGAGTATTCTCAATCTAAATAAACACATACTTATGTGCACCATTTCAACACAATCAAATATATACCTATATACATCCATACATCATATCATATATGGATCCTCTCAGTCCCTTCTAGTCCACTCTCAAACATTCAAACACACACCCTCATAGAATGTAAATCCTTAGTACTCCTTATGGGGTGTCTATCCCATAAAATCTTACAATTCTCTTATATCTTTTTCTCATGCCTAACCCTATAGAGACTTCACTTATTATAACCATACAAACTTGTCTATTAAGAATTCATTTCTTTTTAGAATTCTTTTCCTACAAGTCAAACTTGCCTATTAAAAATCTTTTTTCTCTTAGAATTCTTTTTTACAAGTCTTTTTGTTCATCAAGTAATATTTGGCCAATCTAAAAAAATCTCTAACAAATCTCAAACAGATCTTCTATGAGATTTGAGTCATTATTCCTAACAGATCCCTTGCTGTAAACCCCTTTGAAGGCTGAAAACTCTCTAACATTCCCTTATTTAAAAGTGTAGTGATTGGAGACGAGGATTAGCAACTCAAGATGAGTGCAATCCAGGATGGAAAAAAATTATAGAACATGAAAAACTTTCCTTATAAAATTCCATTCAAGCCTATCATAGGCTTTTTCTA